TATCTAATTGTTTTTTTATAAAAAATTTATATTTTAAATTTTATCATTGAATCTAAAATTATAATATATATATATATATATATGGTTCCTATTTATTTGGTTTTATTTTTCCTTTTGATTTGAGCTTCCAGAAAAAAAAAAATTCTTACTCTCAAATTTATTTTTTTTATTTTCACTTTTTTAATTGTTGTTTTATTTTTTTATGTAATTAATTTATACCTCAAGTTTTGTTTTTTTAAAAAAAATAAGTGTTTTGGAAAAAAGAGGAGTCCCGGCGGAGCGCGGACCCGTGTCCAAATATCTTGCTAAATGCTTAATTAATTTGAAGTCTTGTTGACTCTAATCTCCATGATAATACTGTCCTTGTCGTTTGGAGTTGATTGCCCGTAAACATGGAAAATATTAGAAATAAACAATCCTTTAAGCATTAATTAACAAAATAATCACATCAACCTGACAAGTTGTCTTATCTCACTCACCAAGCTGCAACATACACTTCTTCAACAACCAGACATAACAACTTTTTCGCTACCTCGTAACAAGTGAGAGATCATCATCACCATCGTCAAAAATTCAACGAGAATTTGATGATGCCGTGTTCCCGTTATTTTTTTTAAATACTTATATTAAAATAATATTTTTTATTTTTTAAGATTTATTTTTAATATTTACAAGATATAAAAAAATTAGTTTTTTAAAAAACATTATTTACTAAAATCTATCAATCGAGAACACAAGTGGTGAGTAGCCGTGGAGTATGTAATCATCAAGGTGTTTAGATGTGCCGCACTTAATTAGTTTCATCCATTAATTAAATCGAGATAACTTAGGAGTGATCGGGCAAGTGGGTGAAAGTTTCCAATCATAATTGATTGCATAAGCCCTTTTCAATCTGGATTGTTATTCCTTTAAACTATGTTTTTGAATTATTTTAATATAATAATATTAAAAATATTTTTTTAAAATTAAAAAAATTATTCTACCATGATTTTAAGCTAATAACATTTATAAATATAATTATTATTAAAAATATTAAATACTACTACAAAACAATTATTTATTAAAGTTAGTTTAATATAAAAATGTGGTTACAATTATTTTTAAAATAATTTTTTATATTAAAATTTATATCAATAATTTTTTTATTTTTTAAAATTATTTTTAATATCAATATATTAAAATATATTAAATTAAAAAAAAATTAAATTAAAAAAAATTAAAAAAAAAAATTTACACCGCTTTCCCAGAACGGTGACTAAAACATTTACTAAAGCAGCATTGATATTCCCCTACTCCTAGGATTCCCTGTGGCGAGGAGCCGAGGAATTGTGTTCCTCGGCGATGTGTTTTGAGCAGTGTCAGTGACGACAACATAAGATTTTCGACGCGCGTCGGATTCGGTTACCTACCAGTCACGTTAAACATGACATAAAAAATATTTTCGATGGTTGATTAAAATTTGATTTTAATGCGAAAGTTTTTTTTTTTTTAATTATTATTCTTCCTAACAGATATAATTATAAAAGTTCTAGAACACTCTAAAGAAAAACAATTACTAGAGATGTACACACATACACACACACATGACATAAAACGTCGTATTTTTTTATTTACGCGTGTTCAGGTCGTTTGTGAATTCCTAGCGCACGTGAATTTGATATTTTCTCAACTACTTTAATGATTATCGTGCAAAATTAAAATCTTTACATATAAAAAAAGTTTTGTGATGGAGGGAATCTTCGTAAATCTTATATAAATGCCATTATAAAAAATACTTTTTCGTTAGATAATATTTTTGATTTATTCTTCAACTGTATATTTATTTTCTGGTTGGATTTTACGGCTCGTAGTTTAATTTATTGAGCATTGAAGTAACTAAAAATATATTCTTGCTTCTGTATTTAACCTAATTCCATTAGCCGGAGACTGAGAATATAGTAAGTATTTATTTTTAAAATATTTTTAATTTAGAAATATATAAAAATAATATAACTTTTTATTTTTAAAAATTTATTTTTAATATTAATATATCAAAATAATAATAAAATATTAATTTTAAATAAAATAAATTTATTTTTTACCCATTTTTGTTTATGCCACACTCTTACTGAATCTCAACGTGGCCACTCATATATTTTTCTTATATACTTAGCAAAATTATCTAAATTTGTTTAGGAAATAAATTTTAGGTAAGATCTGATAGGAGTTCAGAGTTAAAAATAACAATTTTAATTAATTTTTTTAAAAAAATTAAAATAATATTGTTTAAATATTTTTTAAAATAATAAATTTTTAACTAATCACAAATCAACTTGTATTTTTAAATTTATAAGAAGTTTAAATCAAACTAATTGTTTTTTATTTACTTAAACTTGTAACAATTTTATCGGTTGAATTCAGATTTTATAATATTATTTATTCCTCTTATTTGTAAATTTTTTTGCTCTTATGTTTATTATTAACTCTGTCTTAAAAATAAATTCATATTAAGTAATAATGTTACAAACATTTGTATATTTTGTTTTAGTAAATAAGAGCGTGTTTGTTCTCATTCTCAAATTTTTTTAAATTTTTTAAAATTATTATTTTTATATAATTTTAATGCAGAAATGTAAAAAAAGAAAAATATTAATTCTATTTTTTTAAGTAAAAAATAGTTAGAAGTAAATGCTATAGAAGAAAAGTTAAGGGCTGACATGACCAACCAAAGCAGAGGACCCACAATCCGTATTGTAACAATTTTATCGGTTGAATTCAGATTTTATAATATTATTTATTCCTCTTATTTGTAAATTTTTTTGCTCTTATGTTTATTATTAACTCTGTCTTAAAAATAAATTCATATTAAGTAATCTACCATGATTTTAAGCTAATAACATTTATAAATATAATTATTATTAAAAATATTAAATACTACTACAAAACAATTATTTATTAAAGTTAGTTTAATATAAAAATGGGGTTACAATTATTTTTAAAATAATTTTTTATATTAAAATTTATATCAATAATTTTTTTATTTTTTAAAATTATTTTTAATATCAATATATTAAAATATATTAAATTAAAAAAAAATTAAATTAAAAAAAATTAAAATATATTAAATTTAAAAAAATTTAAATTTAAAAAAGAAATTTACACCGCTTTCCCAGAACGGTGACTAAAACATTTACTAAAGCAGCATTGATATTCCCCTACTCCTAGGATTCCCTGTGGCGAGGAGCCGAGGAATTGTGTTCCTCGGCGATGTGTTTTGAGCAGTGTCAGTGACGACAACATAAGATTTTCGACGCGCGTCGGATTCGGTTACCTACCAGTCACGTTAAACATGACATAAAAAATATTTTCGATGGTTGATTAAAATTTGATTTTAATGCGAAAGTTTTTTTTTTTTTAATTATTATTCTTCCTAACAGATATAATTATAAAAGTTCTAGAACACTCTAAAGAAAAACAATTACTAGAGATGTACACACATACACACACACATGACATAAAACGTCGTATTTTTTTATTTACGCGTGTTCAGGTCGTTTGTGAATTCCTAGCGCACGTGAATTTGATATTTTCTCAACTACTTTAATGATTATCGTGCAAAATTAAAATCTTTACATATAAAAAAAGTTTTGTGATGGAGGGAATCTTCGTAAATCTTATATAAATGCCATTATAAAAAATACTTTTTAGTTAGATAATATTTTTGATTTATTCTTCAACTGTATATTTATTTTCTGGTTGGATTTTACGGCTCATAGTTTAATTTATTGAGAACTGAAATAACCAAAAATATATTCTTGCTTCTGTCTTTAACCTAATTCCATTAACTAACCTAATTCCATTAACCGGTGATTGAGAATACAGTAAGAATTTATTTTAAAAATATTTTTAATTTAGAAATATATAAAGATAATATAATTTTTTATTTTTAATATTAATACATCAAAATAATAAAAAAATAAAAACAACATTAATTTTAAATAAATAAATTTAATTTTTACTAATTTTTATTTAGGCTACACTTTCAATCGGATTAAATCTCATGGTGATTACTTGTACATTTTTTTTATATACTTAGCAAAATTATCTAAATCTATTTGGGTGAACTTAAGATAAGATATGAGTTTAAAGTTAAAAATATCAATATAAATTAATTTATTTTTTTTTAAAAATAAAATAATATTATTTAGATATTTTTTAAATAATAAATTTTCAACCAATCACAAATTAACTTGTATTCTTAAGTTTCTAAAAACATCAAATCAAACTAATTGTTTTTTATTTACTTAAACGTGTAGCAATTTTATTGGTTAAATTCAGATTTTATAATATTATTTATTCATCTGATTTTTGCTCTTATGTTTATTATTAACTTTGTCTTAAAAATAAATTCATATTAAGTAATAATGTTACAAACATTTGTATACTTTGTTTTAGTAAATAAGAGCGTGTTTGTTCTTATTCTCAATTTTTTAAAAGTTTTTTTAAATTATTATTTTTATATAATTTTAATGCAGTAATGTAAAAAAAAAATATTAATTCTATTTTTTTAAGTAAAAAATAGTTAGAAGTAAATGCTATAGAAGAAAAGTTAAGGGCTGACATGACTAACCAAAGCAGAGGACCCACTATCCGTACTTTCCCATCTTGCTGTATCCCACAAAGAGCAGCAAATGGGACTGAGGGAAGGAGTAGAGCTACTCTTCTTGTGTACTGTAGTGTAGTGTAGGGTAGGTTTTTGCCTTTTTTGTTAGTGGCAAGGTTTTTATTAAGGGTTCCTTACCTGCTAGACTATTCCTTCTCCTTTCTCTCTGTTTCCGTCTGTATTGGTGAAGATATTTTTAACAGCTAGTACAAAAGGTGATCCCAAGTTTCAAACTTTGTGGCTTTTTTGTTCCTTATTTCATTTTCTTTCGAAATTTTGATTTTTTTTCTGGGTTTTTATTTTCCCTTTTGATTCTTTTTGTGTTAGCTTGTTTTTTTTTTTAATTATCTTTTGTGTTTTGATTTAGTAAAGTTTGAATCTTTTTGCTCCACTGTTGTATTGTTTTTTTTTTTTCAAGAAACTTTTAATTCCAGCAGACTGATTATTTATGGTTATGGGTTTTTCCTAGCCTTGTGTTTGGTTCCGACTGTGAGTGAAATAGAGAAAATGCAATGATGGGTCTTATGTTTCTTATCATTTTGGATGATATGTTGAAAGGAAAATTCTTAACTATCTACAAGGATTTTGATTCTTTGAGGGTGATATGAGACGGAAAAAGAAAAGGAAACAAACATTTGTAGTCAAATCCTGTATTCAATGGTGAAGGTAATGAAATCATTTAATGGCATTTACTGTTGATTTCTCATTAAAGGGAATCTGTGTTGTAAGTTATAAGTCCCCTTTTGTAGGAAGCCAGTGATACTCACCATTTATTTATTTCTGTTATTATTATGGCATTGGGCTGGCGTTTGGCAATACAAGTCTGGTGGTTGTTTTGAACAATGAATGGGTAATAAACGAAGAATTTAGCTTTTTTGTTCTCGTGGGAATTTTATTTGAAATTTGTATTGCAAAGCACTTTGCTTTTTGGCCGATCTTGGATCTTGCATGTCTCTTCTTTCTCTGTTTTTTAAAGATTCCTTATAGAAGTTCTTTAAGTTCTTTCTTATTGTAAAGTTTTCTACCAATAAGGTAGGTTAGGATGCTGTAAGAGACACGACACTAAAGTTGCTGAATGGAGGAACATGTTGTGTTGTTTTCTTTCCATAAGAGGCACCTACAGCAGCCTAAGAATGGGATATCTGTGAAAATTGAAGCTTGAACAAACCCTGTTAGTGTTTTTCACCATGTCAAGGCAATCTCTCCTCCCTCCTCGCTGCCCATTCCAGAAGCCCCTGGTTTCTCGACCAATTCATGACTCCTACCCGCAACACCATAGATCTCCCTCCCAAGGTTCAATTTTGGGGGAGAAGCCGGCATGGCTTGATGATTTGTTAAGTGATGAAGATGCAGATTCCAGCGGGACTTGTCTTCGCCGGTCAGCCAGTGATTCAGTCACCCTCTTGGAAGGTATTGTGAATTCGTTTTCGGGTTTTAGTCCTTATAACAATGAAGCTGCCTCAGTTGGGGGTGAAACTTGTAGTGGGCTGGAGTCAGCTTCTATGTATGGTCCTAATTCTCCTAGGCGAAGAGGGAATGTGACCTTTTCTGAGAATGCCATAGCTTCCGCACTATCGGAGTATGCGTTTCAGAATCCTCTGCAGTATGTAGACGGTAGCTTGTGCATTTGGGGGAATACTCCCTTGGAATCAATGGGGAATGCATGTGGTTCGGCTGGGGAGCTCAATGGCGAGACGAGCACTGTGAAACGGTTAGAATCTGAAACTTTCTTGTTTCATTGCTGGCTAATTTGTATTCAAGATAACTGTTGTAACTCTTCGTATCACATCAATTTCTAAGCAATCTCAGAGGCTATAATTATATTTTTTTGGTCCTGTTTCTCGTATTTTTTAGTTCTGGCTGTTTCTCAGCTTTTTTATGCATTATTTCTTGTAAACTTATTATGGTTATCTGCAGGACCCTGATATGTTGGTGATGATTGTCAGTTTAATGTTAATGTCCATCTTACTTGCATTTATTTTAATCAATCTGGAATCTGAATCAATCTTCACCTATACTTGAAAGGACAGGGCCAAGCTTTAGTACCCAAGTCTCAGCTTTGCTTGCTAAAGTATTTTGTAGTTCTGTTATCTTGCAGATTGTGATGCATCATCCCCTTTATATCGTGAACCTTTTTCCCTCTTCACAGTCACAGGTTGAAAAGGTTCTCTGAAGCTTTTCTTGATCATGTTTGTGAACAGTTGTCTTGTGGGTGTAAGAGATTCTGTCGAGTGTATTGATCCAGAGTAATATTTAAACTTCTGTTAAGAGATACGCCATAAACCACTATGGTCTTCCAAGATGACCTCCGTTGGTTAGAGCTGTCCCTCACTAATATTCCTTCTTTACAAATGTATGTCCCTAGACAAACTTTGGCTGAAGCACAGCTATATTTCCCACCTGAGGGTTGTCTTACTGTCGCTGAGAAGCGTGCTCCTTTTTACTACATGCTTGCAGAGGGAACATTATGACTCTAGCCTGTAGGTGCTGGCTGGCACTGAAAATTGAAGCAAACACCTAGGTTTTAATGAGAAGGATATAATGGAAAGCCTACTATTGTACATACAGCTTGGTGATATTCGCAATTATGCCGTACTTAGGATGAAAATTGGGAAATCCTCACTTCTAATCAAATTGTTCAATTTGAAACTTCATATTTTCTGATGGATCTTTTCTCATCATTGTTCAGCAACATACGGAGACAATAACTGGTTTGATGGCTTTCTTTATAGGCAATCTGGGCAGCGCTCAAGAGTTCGCAAACTCCAGTATATTGCTGAGCTCGAAAGAACTGTTAATGTTCTGCAGGTAAATTCCTATGAGAGATGAGATTTTGTCCCTCTTTAATCTCTGTTCTCTTTCCAGGGATAGCAAACAGCGATGTTATCCTCTATGCAGTGCATCACTTGGGTCAATGAAATGAGATGTTTAAAGTGTCAAATAATTTATACAATTGGGTATCCATATACCCAGCATGACCCCCAGCTGTTAATTCGAATTACTTCACTGGTTTAAGAATATAAAATAGATTGTCTATGATTAAAATGCTTACACAATCTGATTTCTTTCATTCTTCCCCTTTTTTAAGTTCTGAGAATCAAGAAAATGTAATTCTTGGATCTGTTCTCATCTTTGATACTCAGTTGGCAATGCATACGAGTCTTCAATTATATCCTATAGATATACTATCAGCAAAACATTTTCAATTTCATTTTGTTAAGACTTATTCAGCAAATCAAAAAACCTCATGGCTGTATAACACTTTGCAGACTTTGGAGTCAGACTTGGCGTTCAAGGTTGCCTCAATGCTTCAGAAACGTGCTGCCTTGTCCCTGGAAAACAACACATTAAAGCAGCAGTTGGCCAGACTGCGGCAGGAAAAATTAATCGTGGATGGTGAGTTTTTCACTTCTCTGTTACATTTATTCATCCCAAATACAATCTTGTGAGGATTTTAAAGTTCTTTCAAAATGAAAAGCATACATAAGTTTTCCTGGCACTTAACCTTATGCTTCCATCCATTTCGCCACAGCTCAACACAAGACTTTGAAGAAGGAAGCTGAGAGATTGAAAAACAAGTTAGGTAGTTCCACAAATAATAAGTTCAGAACATATTCCAGATCAAGTCTTTCTCCAGAGGAAGCTAGATCAGAAGTTACATGGCAGATGGCGAGGCATAATCTTAACTAATAGACAAGGACCTTACCCATGCTTTCGACAATACATCCCTGTGGTTTTCTACTCACCAGTCTGCCATTTTGTGAAAAAAGAAAGCGGCCTTCCCGTATCATGACATATATTGGTAGGGTTCCCTTGCACCTCCAGGGCTCAACTCAAGTATTTTTATCTTGCCACACTTGAACTGCCAATGAACTGACTTGTATAAGGGGAGTGCATCATCGTTTCTCCATAATTATCTTTGCATCCATATGATTGCTTGATCATTAAAGTAAAATTCCTATTTTTCTAGAAGCTCATTTTCGGTTATCAGCTAAACCTAAAATCTTGCCTAGTCTCCTCTAAAAAAATACATCTACACAGGCATCGGGTTGGATGGGTGCTGCTACCAATCATTAGAATGCTCAGCTTTTGGAAAGCAATGGATTTAAAGCGGCATTTAGATGTGTTATGCTTTTTCACCGCCTCGTTGATGCTGGCTGGTGTAGCTGAGGCTCATTCCTTCTGGACACTGTTATTAAATCCATCGTAGCTTTGACAGATCGATCCTTTTCAAACTGGTGAAGGATATAGTGTTGTAGACACTGGACAAGATGACCACGAAAGAAAAACCTGGAGCCAGAAGTTCGTGACTCGGTATACTTACTCCAATTAGGGTGTATGCATTTAGATTGATCATTGCTTTCTATTGCCCGGCAAAACCAAGGATAGATTTTTAGAATCAGGAAACAACAAAAGCAGCCATTGTTGGGGATTAGTAAAAGCAATTCTTGAATTTTCTCAAGTCAAACATGTATATCTGCTATCCATATTAGAATGCACAAATGAACCAAGGGGAAGAAAGGTTTAACTTAATTTACACATCTATCTGTGTAGAATCCAGTCGCCAAACTGTTCAGGGGCATCCTTTTTCACAAAATGTATTCACAGTACTTGTCCAAAGAAAAAATAAATCATTGCATGGAATAAAGCCTAGTCCCGCCAAACACCAATTAAATCATGTAAATCAGCAACGTGTTTACAGGGGTTTCGCATCCAGCTCTTCAAATTACTTTCACAAGGATCACGTAAAAAAACCGCCTAACCACGAAGAGAAGCCCGAGGGACAGCAGGTAAGCCCAGTTCATCCTCAGCCTGTCAAGAATAGAAGTTTAAAGAAAAATGCATTAGGCCGGGAACATTGAGCAAGACATTGCAAATACAGTGTACAGCATATCTAACTTCGTATTTCAGAAGCTCAAATGATCCAAGTGTTGGGTAGTAGGAAACAAGCTGGCTGTTCGCTTAAGCTGGTATACAGGTGTATTACTTTCCATTTTTTAAAGGTTAATTAGTATTTTGTTCCATTAATTAGAGAAGTGCTTCCCAGTCAACAGCAAATAACAATAAGTGGTAAGAGAGTATAAGCAGCAATGCTACTTAAATACCCTCTCATAACACTAACTAAAGCGATTCTACAAAAAAAGAATATTTCACTGTACTATTAATACCTGGGCATTGTATCTGCTAGCTGGTGCTCCTTGTCCTGTGGGCGCTGAAGGCAAGTTCAGTTCTGCATCAAGATCAGATTCCTTATCAGGTTGCAGATAAGAAGGCACCCCATCAGATTCAGTTTCCATTCCCATGTCTGCTTCCAGAGCATCAAGTTCTGCATTCAAAATGAATAGAACTATCATAAAGTATAAATACCAGACGGGTCTTGTGTTTTTGCGAAACCAGTGCATGAATGCATGTTTCCAATTACAGCAGGGAAATATTTTTGACAAAGAGAGCGCTCCTACTGAAGATGCTATGCATTATTAAAGAACTTGTTTCTCAAACATCGGGGCGGAAAGTCAATCAAAATTTCTTTTTGTCCAAAAATAAACCTATACTGAACCTTAGAATGAACTTGAGCTTACCACCCATGAGTTCTTCCTCATCAATATCATCTGGCACATTATAGCTTCTGCCCAATGTCTCCTGAATTTCATTGCTCACATCCATCAAGTCCATCATCTCATCTTGCAAGTTCTACATAGACAAAAAAATAAGAAAAGGGGTTAAAATGCTTGTCATCATTATTCCTTGGAGACCTCAATAGAAACGCCAAAACGATAGGACAGGAGAGGAGGAGGGGCTTGGAATCAAAAGAGATTACGTACATCAATATCTTGAATCTTCACAGTTTTCATCATTCCTTTCAATTCCTTGTTGGCGGATTTCAAGGCTGACATCTGAGAAGAACACCAAAAAACTAATATGTGAAAGAAGTTAAGTCAATTTTTTTGAAACTGGTTCCCTTAAGGTGCCCCATGGTTATATATTTCATCTTTAGACTAAATGGCTATGCATGCTGAATGAGCAAAACAAAACCTACTAAACGATGTTTTGAAGCAGTCCCTCCTAATAGCAGACGTTTCATCCCCTACTGCTCATGAGGATTACAGATATCGATCAACCAGCTTGACCCCTGCCCCAGTGGGTGCTTCCAAGACAAACAAATATATCAAGGTGAGCATCCCATCCCCAATGCAACCATAAATTGATCGGGTACAAAACGAATCTCCACAGATGACATGTGAATAATTACTAACCAGAAATGAAATGCCTTATCTATTGCATATTTGCATGTACAAAAAATACTTAAACCTTAAATGCTATCTATTACTCTTTGCAATTCAGTCGAACTATCAGATGCTTTGAGGCCCCCTTTTAAAACAAACACTTTTAAAACTATATTGATGCTGTGGAACATACAGTTTGTTGAGCATCTTTAATTCCTTCAGAAGCAAATGCAACTTGATCAAGGTTGAACGTTTGATTATAAAGCATGTCACGCTGTCCTTCATACCTGTCCAGGCAATTGACAATATATCAAGCTGCATGGCGTCGCCCTAACATTAAGAGCATGTTTGGGAACGCAACCACCGCTTTCTGCTAAAAATTATTTTTTTATGTGTTTATAAATTTTTGAGGTGTCGATTTCAAAAATATATTTTTAAAAATAAAAAAAAATATTTTAATATATTTCTAAGTGAAAAACACTCATGCACAGCAAAAAAGGCACCAACCCAATATCAATATCCACACAGGCAGCTAGATCTACCAGTTTGGTGCTTCAAATGCAAAATTGAAGATCAAGTTCTAAAAAACAATCCAAAACCTTCAGGATTTGTTTCAGCACTGTGATCACAACCCAATAAACATGATCAAATCTAGAGTAAGAAACAAACCAAACCCAGTCATTTCAATAAAAAAAAATTCAAAACCCACAAACCCTTTCACCACCACAATCACATTAAAAAAACAAAAGGAGAGAACTTTCAATTCTTACATTCTCTTTTGCTTAAGAATCCTCATAGCTCTAGCTTTCACAGCCTCTTGAGCAGGTCCAGGTCTTGTCTTTTTAATCTGTTCTTTGTATCTAGCAAGTTCTGCATCTAGCTTCTTGATCTTCTCATCTACTGTATCACCTCTTTTATTTATCTAATGTTTTTATCATCAAATTAAAAACCCATATCAGAAATCCAACAACAAACCAGTATTATAAATTCAAGTTCAAAACTTTCTTGCTTGCTCGAACAAGGAATTCAAGAAAAAGAAAGAAAGAAAGATATATTACCTTCTCTGATGCATCTTGGATTGAAGGTGGTGGTTCTTTATCTTTTTTAGCACCAAAAACCCTCCTCATCTTTACAAGAAACAATAAAAAAAAATTGCTAATCAAGTTCTTGAAAGAGAACAAAGAGAAGAATTGGAAGAGACAGAGTTTTTCTTGTTTTTCAAGAAATAAAGATTTTGTTACCTTCGTTCTATTTTACCTTTACTCGGTTAAAAGGAAGCTTCTTTGAGTTTGCAGAAGGGACGTGTTACATGGATTTGGGTTCTGTTTGGTTTTTGATGTGGCATTATTTGATTGGTTGAGTTGCTTAATTGTCCAATAGTGATGTGCCATGCCATGCTGACTAGGCTTTTTTATTTTTATTAATCTTCCTTGGATCAATGGTACAAATACAATTATTTTAAAAAAAAAGTCTTTTTTTTTTCAAGAAATTTTATCAGTCCAAGTTAATTAAACTATTTTAATAGCGTTCAATGAAAAAAAATAATAATATAGAAGAGTAGCATATTTGTAGCTGTAAAATTCGAATGAGGGTAAATGTCATAGGCCCTTGAATAAAAAATATAAATTTTATCTAAAAATTATTATTATTATTATTATTATCACTCTCATCCCTATCACCATCGCTATATTTTTTCATTGACAAAAATAAATTTTACCTTTAACTATATTTTTTTTTTTTCTTGATGCTGACACATATTGTCTAAATTTTATCTGTATATAAATATGCATGTATTATTTCCATGACCATTCATACAATATTTACATTACATGTCTAATGCATTCCTATGATATTTAATCAATATAACACATTTAATATATTTAGATTTATACAATACATTTAATTTATATAATATTTTTTATATATTTAATTTTTTATTCTATTTTATTCAAATAGAATTCAATTTTATAGTCATTTAGAATTTATTAAAAAATATAATTGAGAAATTCTTAGATTATTATTACTGTTGAAACAACAAAAAACAAAAACTTGTTTCCTTGTGTGCCCTGGAAACAAATGAGACATTGCTCGTAGTGATTTTCATGATGTACTTTCTCTTCTTGCTTACCTGGTGCAAACTTCTCCATAATAAGATTTTGCTCATTCAAGGATTCCCTAAGGGAGGAACATCCCACATCGGAAAGAAAGGAATAACATTTGAACGTTATATTCCTAACTCTGAGGAGCCATAAGGTTCTGCAAGGGTGGGCTTGGAAGTGATTGGCTTTCGGGCATCCTAATGTGAGGTAGGGTTCAGTGCGTCCTAGTGAAGATCTGGTTGTCTTGACTACCTAGAGCGGATGGCACAGCGTGAAGCTGGTTTGACAGGGCAGACGGGAAGGATTACGGGACGGTGCCATTTTGATCCGCATGGCCTGAAGGAGCTGGTTCTAATCGGACCATTACTTCTGTTAGCCTGGAAAAAGTTATTTGACCCGTTAAATCAACCTCGAATTTGGATCATCCAGCAAAACTAAGCAGATATATATATATATAGTTTTTATCGTACTCGAAGAACGGTTTTTTATCATATTTTTCAAAGGAAACTAGCCAGACAAGTGCAAGCGGTGAATTAACGTTAAAACAAGTGCACTTGATGAACTACGCCTGGATACGTTCGCTAGCTTGTCAGAAGAGGCACTGTTATTAAAGCTGGCTTTTCCTGACAAGTTAACCGGATAATTCGTCAGTTCAGCAATGTTTCTTAAAATTTGACAAGCATTGGGCCAGATTGCCTTTTTTATTCAGCGTAATGTTTAGATATTGAAATGTAATTAAAAAAAATAGTATAAAAAATGATTCATGATAAATATGTAATAGTGTTAATTAAAACTAAAATAATACTTTTTTATTTTTTAATAATACACTGCCCATAATTCAAAAAAACGGTTAAAAATAAAATTATATGATAAAAACCTATTTTTTATTATCAACCAAAAAAGCATAGTGCCTCAACATGTCAGTATTTTTTAAAAAATTTAAAATATTATTTAAATATTAAATTACATTATCACTCTTAACCAAACCTAAAATTAACAAAAAAAAAACAAGATGTTAAAATACCCTAATACCCCTGGCTTCAATTTGTTACATTTCTTGGATTCAAAAGTGCACATGTAATTTGATTATTTATAAAAAAATAAAAATTGATATACCCATGCCCCTGTTGTGTTGATTTTCTCATCCCGGTGGTGTTTTTGCTATTTCATTGTAATTAAAAATATTGAATAAATAAAAATTCATAATAATTAATAAATCATATGAAAAATATAAAAACACTAGTAATCAAAGTTTTTTTTTAGGAAGGTTGTAGGAAACCTCTTTTTTTTAGTTATTTTTTTATTAGTTTTGTTAATGCTTCTATTATTAATATCACTATCACTATCACTGTTACTATCATCACCATCACAACAATTATTATTATTGGGATTATCATTATTATTATCACTACTATTATCACCACAATTACAATTATTATTACTTGTATTGTTATCATTATAATCATTGTTACTATTATTGTTATAGTAATTACTGTTATAAACTATTATTATTATCATTATTAGCAATGTTATTAGTATTATCAGTATCATTATTATCACTGTTAATATTATTGTTACTATTAAAATAATAAAAAATATAAAATTGATATATGAGTTATTATTATTATTATTATCATCGTCATCATAATCACTACATCTTTTTGTTATCATCCAGCTATATTTTTTTCTTCATGTTGACATGTATTACCTAAATTCTATCTCTGTATAATTATGCCATGTATTTTTTTTACGACCATTCATATAATATTTCTACTATATATCTAATACATTCCTGTTATATTTAATTAACAGACCACATCTAATATATTTACATTTACATAATACATTTAATTTATATAATATTTATATTTTATATTTTTTTATTCTATTTTATTCAAATAGAATTAAAATTTATATTTATTTAGAATTTATTCAAAAATATAATTTAAAATTTCTTAGAATTTAGAATGATTTATTGTTATTATTATTACTGAAATAACAAGAAACATGAACTTAATTTAAATGATAAAATTAAGTAACATGGCAACTTTGATAAAATGATAAAGGAAAATAAAGAAATCAAAAGAAAATGAATTAAATTGAAATTGGTATTACCCTTGTTGAAAATAAATTCAAAAACTTGATACAAGGGATAAAAATCTAAACCATAAAAAACCTTGATAGAAGAGCAAAGGGAAAAAAAATCAAAAGTAGAAGAAACATATTAAAAAACTTATATCTACAAATTATAAATGAAGGATTAAATTAAAAACAAGTAAAATTTTAATAAAAAAAATTATAACTAAAAGAACTGAATATAAAAGACCACCAACTAAAAAGATCGAGATTGATTTTTTTGGGCATGAGAGAGAAATAGAGGGAGGAAATGAAAGGATTATCACTATAAATCTCCCACCTTCAAATGTCACGTGCAATTAATAAAATAGAATGACACAAGATAAAATAAAAAAATAATAAAAACTTATTTTATATTATCAAGAGACATTGCATGTATTATTTAAATTGAATGATATTTTTTATTCATTAACAATTTTTTATATTTAAAAATAAAAAATTAAATTATAAATCATGTTACGAGACCCAACCAAATTAATAATAATAATAATAATAGTTACCTTTGAGATTGATTTAAAAATCACAAATTAATATAATCCGGTTAATTTGTGAATTACCATAGAACCTATCAGATTACGAACTGACCTTGAAAAAATAAGAACTACATTATTTTAATTTTTTTTTATTTTTTATTTTTTATTTGAAAAAAACTTTAAACAATGATATTTGAGATTGATTGAATGAATCAATTAAAGTCACCTCACCCAAACCGTGGTACAGACGTAAAAGGAAGATAAGTTTAACAACTTTGATAGATAATGAAGCCATGACACGTAGATTGTTCAAGTCAACCTCCGCCCAAGAACACAAATAATTAATTTAAACAAAAAACCACAGAAGATGATGACAGCATCTGATAATGTTGCCACGGTCGCATTCTCGCCGCCGTCTCTGCACATAGATGATAGAATTCACCTAACCGGTTTTTAAACAGCTAGTTTCGGTCTGTTGTTTTATATTTTAAGATATTAACACTTTAAAATAATACTTTTCATTATTTAAAATTTATTTTTCATATTGACACTTTAAAATAATTTACAAACATAAAATATTTATTTTTTAAAATAATTTTCAAAATATAAAAACAAATAGTTTTTTAACATCACCTAAACAACTCCACCTCGAATACATTCTTAAAACTATATTAATACTCCCCCGAAAAAGAAGAATTAATTCTTAATCATTTTATTAATAGTCCTAACTTGTTAAGCTAGTACATGATTGATTTGAAAAATTCACCAATCACGTTGCAGTATAAAAAATTAATATTTTTAAAATAATTATAAATTTTGATTTAGCTTGAGGGTCAATTTGATTGACCCGTCAAAACAAATCCTAGTCTAAGCTCTGTTTTAATTTGAACTGTTTTATTTTATTTTTTAATAAAATAATATTATTTAAATTATTTATTAAAAAATATAATTTAAGCTAGACCGTTATTTTTATGAATCATCTCATTCAAATTGCGCTATAGTTTTCAATTTTCAATTTAGATTTTCTAATTATAATTTTAAAAATTAACTTGTAAATTAAAATTAATTAAAAAAAATACAACATGTTAATGGTGATTTTTAGATTGGATCATGCTGGGTTCACTGTAAATCACACGATCAACTAATATTTTGAATGGAATTAATTGGATTTATTTTGATAATTTGAGATGTTTAGAATGATTTATATATATTATAATTAATTTTTGAATTTATTAAATATCCTATAAATCCAATAAACAAGTAATATAAACAAAAAAATCAACATCAATTTTTTTTTATTTTATCCCCGTGCACTTCACTGGTCTTATCCAGTTTCAAAACAATGCTCCAAGAGAACGATAATTTATTTATAAAAAAATGGTATTTGAACTAAATTTTTTATGATCACCTTATCATTAGAGCACCTTGACCCTTGCGCACACGACCACCGGTCTAATTTTGGTAAAAGTTATTTTTTAATTTTAAAATATATTTAAATAATATTTTTTAAAATATATTTTTGATATCATTATATTAAAATAATTTAAAAATAAAATAAATTATTCTTTCAAAATACGATAGTACAAGAGCCCACAGTAACAGAGAACCGCTGTCTATTATTTCGCATCTTCACCCATATAAAATCGAGTCCTCTGCTGCCCCTAAAACTTCCAGAATATCAAGCTCCGAGTCATGGCCAACGAGTTAGATGGGTTCAATTTCGAGCAGAGACATGGAAAAGCTAGAGTTAGAGTTGCAAGAGTTTGGAGGAACAAATCAGATCATATTCATTCCATGGTGGAATGGTGTGTTAGCATCAGCCTGTTATCTGATTGTGTCAACTCCTATGTTCGTGATGATAACTCTGATATCGTTGCCACTGATACCATGAAAAACACTGTAAATTTTCTCACCCAGATTTTTTTTTTTTTAAGATTCAGATTTGTTCTTTGGTTTATCAGTGATGTAAAGATAAGTCAGTCTTCATCTTGATTGTCAGCTAGTTAACCTAGTTTGCCTCTTTGTGTAAGATGTCCTTTTCTCTTGTCATCAAGTCAGCAACGTTTTTTTTTCCTATTTTTGTTTCTTGTTTTTGGGTTTTTAAGGATTTTGTTAAAGGCTTGGATGGCTTGATTTGAGTTAGGGAATGGATCCCTTCAATATGCATGTGTTCTTATGCCTGATTTAAGTGGCAAGGATGCATGGAATTGCTTAGGTTAGTGATATGATTTATGATATTTGAGCATCTAAATTTGGATTGTGATTTATGAAGCAATAATGCTTTGTTGTGGCTCTATGATCTGGTGTAGGAAACTCTTTTTAGCTTCTCAAAGCTAGGGTTAGTTTGTGTGTAAAATCATCGTTATAAATCAGGAGATTTCTTGTGATATTACTGGCAGTTCTTGTTTATCAAACAGCAATTGAAGTTTAGTTGCAATCATTTTAAAGGTTACCTGTAACGCAGGTATATGTGAAAGCAAAGGAATGTTCAGAGCAGCTTTCGGCAGAGAACTTTGCGATTCTGCTTGCTAGGCACTTCACATCATTTTACAAGCAGGTAATTACTTTTGCAATTGAGATTGTTACTGTTGAAAACACGGGGATAAGGAACTGCTGAGTTAGGCCATTAGCATTTGAAGGCTCCTAAACTTGATTTCCCAAGTCTTGTTGTTAAGAGCTTGGTTTTGTTCTATACAGTTAGAGGATGAACCTGGAACAGCTTCTTATATTTAATTCTCATGCATGAATCCTTTCTCATGGTTTTGTATTGTAATGATGTTTAGTTCTTTTGATTAATGCAGACCTCTTCTTCTCTTTTGAACATTTTGTAGGTAACTACTGCTATTGTAAAGATAGTGGAGAAGCCGTGGGAGCGTGTGCACATAAATGGGCAGCCACACGAACATGGTAATTCCAGAGCCTCTAGGTTAGAACATTATTGTGAATTTATGAAAGCAAGTACATCATTTCTAATCTTCTCAGAAAACAATCAAAATGGAAAGTACATCATTTCTAAACTTCTCAGAAAACAATCAAAATGGAATGCATCTTGACATATCTTCACGGATATAATTCGCTCCTCCCTTTTCATTTCAAGATCCTCTGATTTTTGGGAAATTAAAAGAAATATGTATTGGTTTGAATTGAGTTATTAATTCTACTCTTCTGAAGGTTTCAAACTTGGATCTGAGAAGCATACAGCTGAGGTAACAGTGCAGAAGTCTGGTGTTCTAAAGCTGACTTCTGGTATAGAAGGATTGTCTGTGCTGAAGACAACCAAGGTAAAGCAACCTCTATTTGATCTTTTCTGAATGAGCACCCAGAATTTCTTCAAAGCTGAGAAAAAACCGTTTATTTGATGTCCTTTTGGTGTTTATGCTATGAACAGTCTGGTTTTGAAGGGTTTATTAGGGATCAGTATACAGCTCTGCCCGAAACTCGAGAGAGGATGCTGGCAACAGAAGTCACTGCATTGTGGAGGCAAGTTTTTCCAATTTCTTTAATAATTTGATCTAGGAGAATTGCTGGTATATGTCGATGGATGATAAATGTTCTTGACAGACCCCTTCGCTCTATTTGGTTACAGTTAAGTACTAGTATATTGACCTTTTGAGTTTCAAATCAGGCTTATTTCTGAGATAATACTGTGTATGCAGGTATTCCTATGAATCTGCATCTAGCATCCCCAAGAACCCACTTTACTTTACAGAGAGATATTTGGATGTGAAAAAATCTTTGGCCAACACTTTCTTTGGTCCTCCTAAGGAAGGCGTATACAGTGCATCTGTTCAAAGCACTCTTTTTCAAATGGCAAAGGCTGTACTCAACAGGTCTCTCTCTTCTTAATCACATTCAAACTCATTATTGACACACTCGTCGACATTAATAGCTTCTTATATTGCGATCTCTGCAGATTTCCTGACATATCATTCATCCAACTAAAAATGCCAAATATCCATTTCCTACCGGTTAACATATCAAGCAAGGACAACACCATTGTAAAGGTAGAACTCTAGGTTCCTTGGATTGGAGTATATCATGTTTGAGTTTCTTACAGCATGAAAATCATGTCAGTTTGAACTTGAAGATAAATTTGTTAGCTGAATAATCGAACTAACAACAATGATGTCCATGATGAATCCTGCAGTTCAATGATGATGTTTTTCTACCGACCGACGAGCCACATGGTTCAATAGAAGCAAGCTTGAGCCGCTTCTGGTCAAAGATGTAGAAGCTTTTCTACAAATGTACTGATACCCTGGCCATCGTGTTTCTGCCCACATCAAATGCTATTCAGTTTCTGTATTTCCAAAATAATGTGCATAACCTGAACCAAAAAAAGAGAGAATAAACAGTGGGAACTAAAATCCATTTTAAGACACGTGACATGTAATGCAATTTACCTTTAATGATAATGTTAATATCTTGTGCTACAGGAGATTTTACTTTAGCTTAACACATTTTAATTGCTGAAAGGCGCCCCTTCTCAAGCATAATCTGTGCTTAGGATCTCAAGACATTGACAAAGCCGTGGGAGGCTGCGGGTGGCCCACACATTCTAGCACCCACCAGCATGTGTGGAACACATGCCTCTCCATTGGACAGCCCCTTTGAATACATGCCTCTCAGTGGTGCCCAATTATTTGTGAACTAGGTTTAGATAGTTAACACCAACAAATGTTCTTTAGATGCCATGACAATAACATAATGGCTGATGGAAAATATTTTTTTATAAAAAATAAATTTAATTTTATAAATTATTTTAAATAAAATAAATAATAAAAAAATTGAGATGATAAATAAAATTTTTTAAATAAAAAAATGATAAAGAGAAAAATAACTAACAATTAAAAAAATTAAAATTAAAATTGATTTAAAATTAAAATTAAATTAAATTTTAAGGAATGAAATTAAAAAAAATCAAAATAAAATATATAAAAATAGAAAGATCGAGAATAAAATTTGATATAATAAACATGTGTTCAAATTAAAAAAAAAATATTTTTTAAAATTAAATTTTTTTATTGAAAAGTATTTTTTATTAATTAATTTTTTAATCAACAAACATAATAAATTTTAAAAAATAACTTTTAAAAAACCACTTTCTATTGGAAAAAAGAGAGCATAATACTATAATAGTAGATTTACATTCAGCTATGTTCCTCTATGACATGTATACACACACACACACACATAATTTTTAGAGCTCAAAATTTAACATTAGTCATCTGCCATAGATTCTTATGAAAACAACCATCCACAACCAACAAGCAGACCAAAACCCTTCAAACTGTATTGTTTATCAGTCCTAATTCTCTTTTTAGCAATCTTATTAAGTTTCACCAAGACAAGACACTGCTTCACATCTAAAATCAACACTGACATCAAACCCTGTTTTTTTTAAGGAACACTTAGGTTTTTTTTATTCAAATCAAAACCCATTTATCAAATTACATTTCCCTGCCCTTTCCAAACCTACCTTTTCTTTCATTTCCAAACCTACCTTTTCTTTCAGGTATAACTCAGAAACCCATTCTTATATTTTAGTTCTTAATGAAAACATGAAAAGGAACAAGTTTAAGTTGAGTATTGAGCAGCATGGTGATTTAGAATCTTTGGAGTTTCAGAACTTGGTCATTAACCTTTATCAAACTAAATGTGGAGTAAATGAGACTATTGTGATATGTAATAGTGAACTTGGTGCTTGGTACCCACCATTGTTTCAAATCATGTCTTGTTTACCAACTGGTTACAAAAATCTCAACTTTGTTATTGGTAGAACCATATTTGAGACTAATAGAGTTAATGCCGAGCATGTTAAGGGATGTTGTAGAATGGATTGTGTTTGGATTCCTAATGATTTTTATGTCTCTATATTTGTGAAAATTGGTCTGATCCATCTAAGGTTGTTAAAGTTGTTCAGGCTGTTGATGCCGAGTTCTTTGATCCTTTAAAGTGTAAGCCTTTGGATTTTGGTTCTATAGGGAATTTGGTTTTAGGTTCAAGAAAGAAGGATTCGGATTCGAAAACGGAGTTTGTGTTTTTGAGTGTGTTTAAATTGGAGTACAGGAAAGGAAGGGATGCATTGTTGAAATCATATTTGAAAGAGTTTTCTAGAATTCATGGGATTGCTCCTATTTATGTGATTGATTCTCATATAGCTCAGGTTGATTTGCCAATAATGTATAAGGCTGCCCATGCATTTTTTTATAGCCTAAACTATCTGGAAGCAAATGCTTGATCTCTGTAATTCAGGAAGATAGGTAGATGATTGGCTAACAAAATTTGAATGTGCCCATTGGAACTTGCAGTAAAGAACTTCCCTTCAATTCTTTAAAGAATTTCCAGGTTCTTTTTACAAGATTTAGAGGGAAAAGAAGCCTCTTTTACAATATTCTTCAGAGAACTCTAGCTTCAATAGCATGGTGCAGAGTATCATATTTTCAGCAGGTATCATATTTGCAGCATTAACTGCATAAAAAGCTTTGGCTTAGTCCCATTTAGGAATATCTATTCTAATCGTGTTCTCCTATTATATCTGTCATTACCTGTCAGATTTCTCTTGAAAAGCTTGCTGTTTTCCTTTCTTTTACTTTTTTTCGTGCTTTCAGATATTTTAATCCATTTTCCTGCTGTAATGAATCCTGGAGACATGAATACAGGCTTCTTCTCAGGTTTCTCTGTGTCAACACCCAATAGACCAATCTCCTTTTCATTCCCTGTGAGTTTAAGGAGAAACCTATGTTTTTGCAGCAGCAAAATGTGATTGATCTGGATGTAGAATGAGCCAGGAAAATCAAACCAGGTCATTAGCACCAAAAGTTCTTAGCCAAGGTTAGATTGGTTCAGGTATGTAACCAACCTTAATGGCTTAGACAGTATAGAATATTTTCTTCTCTAACAACCCTAGCATCTATTTTTTGAAAGGAAAAATCTGGACATACAACTTGATGTGATTTATAAAATCATTACATCTAATGTGATGGTATTTAGAAGATTTTTCGGTATAATATTTCTGTTTGTGTCGCCTTACTGTTTTGCAATGAAATAGGCAAAAAACAAGGAGGATATATAGGAAGGGAAAAAGGAGAGGGGAAAATCACTCCCTAATTTCCTAAATGTTAACACGTAGAAATCTTTTACAAGCTCTAGGAGGTCTTGGCTTTGGTTTATTACAATAAAAGAACACAACAGCTCCCTCCGAGGAATCTTCTCTTCCTCACAGTTCTCACCATCCTCTCTCCTTCCCTGTTGTCTATCAATCATCAATATTTGTTTCTTTCAAACCTTATCTTAACCAGCCCCAACAATGGCAGCTGCTGCTCTTCTCCCCTGAACACCACCAACCCTTGACTTTCCCAAAACCCACCTTCCCCGGTTCAGGACAGGATGGCCTCCTGCACCTTTATTCGCCTCCTTGGCCTCCTGTCTTTCTTCATCGTAGCCAACACAGTATCATCATTACCCTCCTCTTCTGGGGGAATCCGCCTCGGTGTTATCAGAAAACCATCTGCTGATGTCCCTGTCTTCAGAGAGGCTCCAGCTTTTCGTAATGGGGATTCCTGTGGGCCACATAGAATCCACATTGTCATGACTCTTGATGCCAATTACCTTAGAGGCACCATGGCTGCTATTTTCTCTATCCTTCGACATTCTACTTGCCCTGAAAACATGGAGTTCCATTTTCTCTGGGCACGTTTTGACCGTGAGGTCTTCTCCAGCATCAAATCCACCTTCCCTTACCTTCACTTCAAATTTTACCGGTTTGACTCCAACCGTGTTCGCGGAAAGATCTCTAAATCCATCCGTCAATCCCTGGACCAACCTTTAAACTATGCTAGAATTTACCTTGCTGACATTATCCCATCCGACGTTAAACGTGTTATTTATCTTGACTCTGATCTTCTTGTTGTTGATGATATTGCAAAATTGTGGGAGGTTGATTTAGAGGACAGGGTTTTGGCAGCTCCGGAATATTGTCATGCAAATTTCACCTACTATTTCTCCAACCTATTTTGGCTCGATCCTGTTTTGGCCAGGACTTTTCATGGAAGAAGGCCTTGTTATTTTAACACAGGAGTTATGGTTGTGGATGTGGAAAAGTGGAGGCAAGTACAGCTTACACAAAAGGTTGAAGGGTGGATGACAGTGCAAAAGCAGAAGAGAATCTACCACTTGGGTTCATTGCCGCCATTTCTTTTGGTTTTGGCTGGGAACATAAAAGGGGTTGATCATCGATGGAACCAGCATGGGTTAGGGGGTGACAACATGGAAGGAAAGTGTAGAAGTCTGCACCCAGGACCTATTAGTTTGCTTCATTGGAGCGGGAAAGGGAAACCTTGGTTACGGCTTGACTCGAGGAAACCTTGCATTGTGGATCATCTTTGGGCTCCATATGATCTTTATCGCTCATCGTTGCACGTTCTTGAAGAATGAGGACGGAGACACTTTTGGAAAAGGAAGGGATTGGTGGTTTAGGAGAGCAAGAAGGAGACATATTAATGGCTGACAAACCTAAGTTTTAAAAGAGTTTGTAAAAAATATTTTTTTTTCTTCCCGTTCTTTCGTATCCTCTTTTATTTTACTTTCAAAAACATTAGAAATACAAACATTTTTCACTGTTCTGTCGAGATCGTCTGACGAAAAACCCTGACGAAAGCTCTGTTGTAAGAGGTGGAAAAGAGAATCCATAACCATAAGGGTTTGAATGTTTTGACTCTACTACTGCTTACCAGCATGGACTCTTGAAGCTATCTTCATCAATTGATTCTCTTACATATATAGCTTGAGGCGAGATCTTGAGTTCCTTGTGAAATGGACAATCACACGATGATGGAGGTTGTGCAAAATTTTCTGTGCCCCTCGAAACAACTTTCTAAATACTACATATTTATTTCTAAATCCAGTTTAGTTTCATATATTCTTTAGTTTTTTTTTTTTTTTTTACAACTTGTGAAACCCATCCCTGCTGTTGTAGAAATTTTACGATCTCCTCTGCTCAATATAGATCGACTATGCTTGTCATTACAATGTGTTGTCTTAATCTTGGATTTGGGGAATTGCTTACTTTTTTCGTGCCTTGAATTAAACAAGACAATGCATATTAAAAATAAAAAAAATATTATTTTAATATATTTTAAATAAAAAATCTTATATTACTATATTAAATACACTAAATTTTATTAAAATTTATAATAAAACTGAATAGAAACTAACAATTTAATTTGAATTTGATTGACACAGAATTTTTTATATAATTATCTTACTTGACATAATAAATAATAAATATAATTCGAACATCTTGAAATATATATATTAAAAGATATAACCGTGGATAGCCTCTGCTATTCCTAGTATGTTTAACCAAACATTATTCTAACAAGGCAACATGTTAAAAATAAAATCATTACACTTAAGAGGAACTGGCTTATGAACTTTAATGAATCTATAAACAGCGTGGTGCAAATTCACTTCGAACTGGTCCACCCGTGAAAAGATTAGGGTTTTTTTGGTTCCGGGCTAAGATTTCTTCTCATTGCTTCTTTTTTTCTTCGGATGAATGCATCTGATTTCTCATTGATATTTGCGGCCACGCTTATGAGATGCCTTGGGAGCACCTCTTCGGGCTCCTTTCTTGCTGGTGTCAAATTTTCACTGATTATGCCCTTACCTTTCCTAGCTCTATCTTCCTCCTTGCTGTCCTGTATGCTGTCAAGCTTTTTTCGACCTTTTTCTCGAGCCATGGTGCTCATATTCGGCCCTGTCTCTTGTTGGGTTTTCCCTCGAGCAGTCATACCATTAGCAGCACCATTCACTTGAACTAGGGGAAGCTTTTCCTTGTCATGGGGTGGCTCAGTGATTTTCTTCCCTTTCTGTATAGCTAGCTTGTCATCAGGGAGCTGACCCTTTCCTGATAAAGAGATGGGAATGCTCTCACCGTTCTTCATTTTCGGCTGATCACCATCATCAGTTCTCTGGCTACCTTTTGTTGATTCATGGGCCGAAAACCCAAGTTTGTCGACAGGCGTCCAATGTTCCAATTCTTCTTCGGTTTGCTTGAAGTGAATCTGAATTTCAGATCCTGAACCATTATCTTTTGACCTTTCTTGACCCTGATGGTGCAGCTTTTCTTCTCCATTTGTTGTTTTAAGGATCAAGGGTTCTTCTAGTTCGCCCACTCCATTCCTCAAAGAGTCATCTACAGATACCTCAGTTGAGCTACGAGGCACTGCATCGGCATGGCCTAAAGTGATGCGCTTAAGGGGACAAACAATAAGGTTGTTCATGAAGAAGTTGTAGAGCCTCTGGCAAATTCCAAAGGACTGAAAGTAGTTGTCATTTTTCTGCATTTTTCTGCCAAGAACATTAAAGAAAAAACGAAGAAACAGCTGTTGATGGTTGCTTAGGAGGGGACTTGGGGAGACAGTATATGCATATGAACAATTGGTTAACTTGTGTTGTTCTATCCTTGGAAAGTAGGGTAACAGAAGGAAGGAGTGTGAATTTGATGGAAGCATCCTTTGCTCTTTTAAACTTGAAAGGGTGTCATTTATCCGGTAGCATTGCAAAAGCAGAGAGCAAGAATATCATAGACAAATCTTATTGATTCCATGCATTGCAAAGGGAAATGGAATCCTACTTTGCTTGAAGTTTCTGATATTCCCAACTCAGTAAGAGCACGATTCACGCGAAACCATAACCTATATCAATATGGGCCACAGCCAGCAAATTTAATTCAAATGGCTTACATCCTTTGGACAGCCTGATAATCTATCTAGTAAGTGGTTAATGTGGTGAAATGGAACTCCATGCAGTTGGCTATGGCTGGTGATTTATTGCAGGAGGCAAGACTGAAGTTGAATTTTTTTATCACATCAACAACCGCAATCAAATCAATGCCAGCTTTTATTTTCCAATTAATCACAAGGAGTATCGATCAGCACCGAATTGGATATGCATCCAAGAGGAATAATTCAAATAATGCTAGCTCATTTAGTCAAGTGGGACACCTTGTATAATATAAGCAAACGTTGATACTTGAACATGAACTCATTGGAAATAGGGACCAAAAACTGCCAAAACTTCCTTGTATGAAGGTTTCTTGAAATCCACCACCTGCATGAAAATGAGAGGTGAAAAGGAACCGATCAACAACAAAATCAGAATACCGAATTTAACTGATTAGAACATATAAGAAATAGCAAGACAGTAACATCCACCCTGTCAATTATTCGTTCTGGTGACATCCATGACCACTCGCAAAACTCAGGTTTTTCAGTGCCATCACCCAATAGATTGATCACTTCCTCATTCCCAGTGAATTTAAGGAGAAACCTGTTTGTTTGCAGTTGCGGAAATGTGATTAATCTGGATGTAGAAAGAGCCAGGAAATAAACTGGGTTGTTGGTCACTTTTGGCAACAAAAATTACAGCTGTAACACTGTCGACTAAAAGTTCTTGGCCAAGGTTTGATTGGTTCAGACGTGTCAGAAACCCTAATGGCCTAGGCAGTGTAGAATTATTCTTACTAAATGCGGGCTATTTATTTGCTCACCACTTCTGTGCTTGACCTTTCTAGTCAGATCCCCATTGATGTTTAAGTTTTTCCCTAACTTCTGGTGGGAAGTCATATGTCAACCAAGAAGGCGTCTGAAAATTCAATCAAGATAGTAAACCTAACACTGAATGCTCAACAAGAAACAGCGGCCACTCCCTAAGTAATTTGAACAGAAACATGCAGAGTCGGGAATGGATGCAAAGGCTGGAAATAGGAAATATATTAGCTCCAACAAAGGCATGGTTGATCGATCTGCAGTGACAGCTAATGTGATAAACAGATTCAAATTGCATAGATCTCGAACTGTGTCCATCAATTCTCACAAGGCTATCCCATGGTATAACAATTTACAAAGCAAATCACTAGAGTGCACATTATAATCAAGAATCCAGATTGAGATTAAGCATTCATGATAACTAAATCCACGTCCACTTTCATGATTCAGACCCCCCTCATTTAGAGGCATTGACAACATGGCAGAATAATACTTGGGTGGGAATGTTTTTCTCACTAGATCTTGTTCCTGATGATTGCATATCTGTGCAGTGTACAGCACGTGAACAACCATAAGACACCAGGCTGAAGTTTTACTCAAACAAATCAGTAGTTCCATGGAAGATAACAAGTTTAAACCTAACATGTTGGCTAACAATAAAAAAAAAAAAAAAACTTCTAGAAATCTCAAAGCAAGCTTAAATCAGACAAAAAGCTGGTAAATTTCAATAGTTTTTATTAGTTTCAACTTTCAAAGAAGCAATAACTTTTCTCCTCCAAAGATTTGCTTAAGATAAGCTATCAATTCCTCTAAAGACCAAAAAACAGGGAAATAAAAAAGGACATAAAAAGCCAAACCTCAGCAAGGACTTCCGCCGAGCTAACCCCTGTTTCTTCTTTTAGTTCCCTGATAGCTGCAACTTTCGGATCTTCACTCTTATCAATACCACCCTATTTCACACAGTCACACAAAACACCATTAACAACCTGCATCCACAAAGAAAATTCTTAAGCGAAAAAAAAGAAGCTAACTTCATATACATTATTGTACCACAAAATAAAATCTTTCACTAATCATTACAATAATATAGACAGCTTCAACTTTCGAACTAACATGACAAATCACTAATATAAGACTCCTGCCAGCATTAATTTGTACAACATAGTTAACTAATATTGAATAATCCTTAACACTGTAATAGACATAACTCTACAATCTTCAATAGATTAAAAGAAAAAACAACGGGGCCATCTTTATTTTCGAAGAAAACTAATCAAAATATACATGGGTTTCAAAAACTAAATAAAAACCATTAAACAAAAAGTAGTTCTGAATTTACCTGTGGCATTTGCCAAGCATCAGGTAAATCCAATCTTGAAGCAGCAAAAAGCTACAGAGTCCACACACAATAAGATTATAAGTCATGAGCATGTATAGAATTATAGCAAAATTTTCACTTAACCAACCTTCTTTGATGGATTGATCAGGCAAATGCCAACATTTTTTCTGTAACCTTCAGAAGGTGATTCCATTGATGATGTACAGCGAGGTCTCGGGCTTCAATGAAGGAGTGGCAGCTTACTAGATTTAGAGAACTTAGAAGGGTAATTTGGGAAGCGACAAGTGGATGTATAGAGAACCTGATGCTGGAGAGGACGACGAAGAAGCGTGGGATAATAGAAAACAGAACGACAAATGGCCATATTCTGGGCTTCCAAGCTTTTCGGTTGATGATTATAAATATAATTTTAAAATCCGATTTAGAGTATATTTATTAATGCGGCAATGGTTATTTAAAATATTTTTTTATTTAAAGTAATATTTTTTATTTTTTAAAATTTGTTTTTAAAATGTATCAAAACTATAAAAAAATTAATTTAAAATAAAAATAAAAAACTTTTAACTTTTAAAAAATAAAAATAAATAGATTTTTAATTAAAAAACTTACACTATCAAACAAGAGAATTATCTGACCCAGAAAATAATTTAAAAATATATAAAAAATATTAATTTGATAAAAAATTGCCAACGAGATTATCAAATATGAGATTGACTAGAAAATGCCTTAATTATTGAATTAATTCGTGGATAATAACTAACTCATATCAATATTTTTATTAAAATATTTTTATTTTAAATTCTGAAATTTTTTGATGATATCTAATTGAGTATTTAATAACTTGCAGATAACTTCTCGATTATACTTTTACATACACAAATATATAAAACATATATTTTGATATGCTAGTTCTTGAAAAAATAAGATACAATATGTCATGAAGGCACTATTAAAATATAATTCTAACATTTAATTATTTTAGATAATAAATAAATAAGTAACATGGAAGTATAAAAAGTAATAAAACCAAGTGCCAGGAAATGAAAGCAAAAATGATCAAATCACTTGTTTCGATCTTCTTCCGTATCTTTAATTAAAGGTGTTTATTTTTGAGGTAATTTATGTTATTTGTCTAATTATAAAAAAAATTGGTAATTAAATATTTTTTTTACTGTATCCAGCATATAATTGTTTTCCAAATTTTTATTTTATAAAAATTAAAATAATTTTTTTAAAAAAAACTGCTTCACATTTATATTGTATACACAATATATCTTATAACAATTTTAACCAAATATATATATATATATATATATATATATTTAAAATCAGAATTAAAAATATTTTTTGAATTATAATAATAAAAATTTATTACAATATTTAATACACACTAAAAAACCACATTAGCCTAATATTGTAAAGTTAGACTCATAAAAAAATAGTGTAAAATTAGTATATAAAACCATCGCAACATATTGAGTTTTTTCATAAAAAAAGAGTAAAATAAATGTTAATTAATTATTCATAGTTTTTGTATAAATTTATTTTCGAAGTATCTTGGAACACCATTTAATTAATTTTTTATTATTATTGATACAAGATAAATTGAAATTATATCAAATAAGGACCCGATACAGATACATCTATTTTGGACAGAAACATATTCGTTGTCAGGTATTTCAGGGCTGGAGACTATTTTGCCTTTTTCAGCAACAATTAATATTGTATTTATTTCTTTTAATATTGTTGTGGTTTTTGTGAATTGTTTTTTCAAAATCTATGGTGCTAAGTTAGCACTATAATTCCCATTTTCCAATTTTTGGTCACTGCAATTCTTTCCTTTTTTTAATTTTTTTAATATATTAATATTTTAAAAAATAAAATCTAAAAAATATTATTTTAATTAATTTTAAATTAAAAATTATTTTACACCCATGATATCAAACACATGAACTATAAGGCTTTATACTGTCCTATAATAAAATTTGATTAAAATATATTTGTTTACTGTGTAATCCTAGTCCAAAAATACCATGTCCATTATGAAATAACCAAAAAAATCTCTTAAAACAACATGGTGAATAGAAAGTTATATCATGTTAAATATTTATTTTTTTATTCGATTGCGAGATTTTATTTTTTTAGTTTATTCATAATTAATTAATAGTAAATTATATATTCTTCATATTAATTTTAATATTCATAAAAAAATATTTTTTCAAATATTGACTTTAAATTTGAAACAATCATCCCTTTTTTCTACTTTTTTTTTTTTCATATTAACCAATTACACACTACTCTAGATAAAAGAGAATACAGTTTCGTATATCTATAAAGACAATGAAAAGCTTGTTTTGATCACTAGATAATGTCGTACACACTACTTGAATGATGTAGACGTTATTTATTTATTGACGCGTGTTCAACTTTCATCAATAACTTTTCTCATTTAAAAATTCAAAAACAATATAAAAATATGAAAATACCCTCATAGCCCTGACAATTATATAAAATACTTATGTGAGGTAAAAAATACCTCCAAATACAAAGCTTATTATTCCTTTATTTTTTTGAAAATTAAAGATGTAATTTTATTGTATATGAATATTTGTAAACCCCATGAAAACTTTTATTCAGTAGCTTAATAATTTTTTGATCATAAGCGAATAAATATATTTATTGTTAAGAAACTTATGAAAATTCAAGAAAATCTTTAATCAACTGTTTTAAATTTTATTAATTTTTATGGTAATATTTTTACTGTGCTGAAAATTTTAAAAGACATAAACACTAAACACCACCGTAAAATCATTTAATGACCAATAGAAGAGTGAAAAATACCAGAACATTCCCACCCTCGAGACTTTATTTTTTCCATTCAAGAACAACATGATAATTTTATCGCTATAGCGATGCACAGTAAACATGTATCTTGAGCTACAATAAAACTCCCACGATTTTTAGAGTTTTTGGCAATGAGCGAGCACGAGTCACTCACCCTAGAATTCAATGGAATCACATTGCCTTTTTAAGGTACTGTCACCCTAAATATAAATAGAGAGATAGAGATCCCTTTTCCATCACCAAGTTGCCACTGATCACCCTTCATTTCATGCTACCAATTGGCGGTTACACCTCTCTTGACAGCTCTTCTACCCTTGCAAGCCACCTCTCTTTCTTTCCTCTTCTTCAATATTTGATTCTTCCTAGCAACCTCAAGAATCAAGTCCTTTATTTTCCTAGCCCCTACAGCCACGGTACCAATTAGCATGGTGGACTTTCCTCCAAACCTTGAAGATGGAGAGTCATGGCTGCCTTCTGATGTTTTTCTTGAAATTATATCGACAACAAATGCTAGCAAGGTTAAGAACAACGACAAGAATCTTCTTCTTTTTCGTGATCATCCCACCTTAAAATCTTCTGCCAATGTTGCACCAGAAAATATTCAGGTCAATTTCTCAATCTCTCCATGCCTTGTTCTATGTATCTTTTCATGTTTTTTTTTTTCCATTTAATTTTTTGATGTTTCCATGTTAACTCTTGTCTAGATTCATTCTCACATGTACTGCCACTACGGCCACTCTCTTTAAGCACTTTAATCAACAGATTTTCTTGTTTGATTATGGCTTTAAGTTCTTTTCCTTTGTTTCCTTGATCCCTAAGGTAATGTTATATAGTATTAATTTTCTTTGCCCTGAAATATATCATTTTCTGGGAAATCCCTAAGGTAATGCTGAGGATTTTTCACGTGAATCAATTTTGCTGTTAGTGACATGTTGACAGATATTACGTGTGCTAATCTAAGTTGTCATTGCCAAATATATAACCACTGCAGCTATGTGACGCTTTGGGTGGTTTCAAGCCAAATGTCGAAAGCCCTGTTGGCACTAAAGTTACAAGTGTTAACCATGGCTACCATCCATGCTGCTGGAACCATGGATTTGAAGTTGTATCTGGACCCTTTAACACATACAGTTCAAAGATCATGACACCAGCTCATAATCAAACTGAAGTAAATCTTTATCCTCTCAACATTATCTCTTGTTTCCTTTTTATGAAATTTACAAATTGATTAAAGGGTTTTCACTAATGGTCCGATAATTAGGGTTTCAAAAGCAGAAACGTCATGCTTTTTTATAGAAAATCACAAGGCACGGGGGTTTTCCTCCCTCGTTTCAATAAACCATTCTCGAAGGGAAGTGGGGTGTTGCCTAGAGGGACGGGGGTGTTCCTTAATCATCAAGTTATGGACAAAGACAAATATGGTAAGTTACGAAATCTTTTTTTTTTTACAAAAATTATACGTATTTTGGCTGTATTTAGATTTTTATTTATTTCTTGCTGGCACTTTTCTATTTAATTTGGGCCTATCTAGTAATTACACGTTTTGTAGTTTAGCACTAGACTTGGAACTGCCTAATTAATCATTTTCAAAAGAAGGATTTGCATTTAATAATTGTGGGACATTTCACCATTATATATTATAGTCTCATTTAAGGTAATGTTTTGTTTCCTTCGCAAAGTAGAAGAGATAATTCCTTTCTTAAAATTATAAAAAATTATTTTAAAAATATCACAAGAGATTTATTTATGTTTTTATCTTTATTTCTTTAATTAAATACATTTATATCTCTTCTATATTTATACATTCGCTATAACCTAAATATTTTTTAGAACAACATGATTTAATTACAAGTTAATTTACAACTCTAAATTAAACACTCATGGGTTACCTTAATTAATTATGGGAGAATAGCATCGTGGATACCATGTAATTAGTTGACTTAATTTTGTGAATAAAACGAGTGCATTAAATCTTGATAGATTATAATTAATGAAATGGGTCTTTCAAGATTTAATTTCTCATTAATTGAATCATTCATCGAACTGTATCGATGTATTGGGGAGCCGAATTCACACCATCTTGCTTTAATTATTAAAGTTGATTAAGGATTAGTAGAATCATTAAAAAATGCTCGTACCACGAATTATTAGATGATTTGAATAATTTAATTTAATGTTCATTCAATAAAAGTGGTTGTTGTGCATAAATTAACGAGTCCACTGAAATTATTGTACGCATTAGGTATTCATGAAAAATGAAAAATAACAAGAAAAAACTCCACTAAGATGAAAAATTCGATAATAAACTCTACTAATCAATGATTTATACTTACATGCAAACGCATGTACATGTCTTTAACTATATTCATGGGATGAAAGGAAATAATCAATGTTTATCTTATTTTTTTGTTCCTCCGGGTGATGAAAATAAGGTTGAAGGGTACGAGAAGAAAGAATTTGGGAAGGCGGGATCCGAGGAAAATGAAAGACACGACTCTCTCGATTCACGTATGATCATCAAGTATGTTTGCCTCGGGAATGGACACGTTCAGCTCCCTAGATTATACTAGCTTCTTTGTTATGTAAAATTATAATAAAATAAAAATGTAATAAGATATTTGTTTATCAACAGTTAAATGTTCCTCCGGGTGATGAAAATAAGGTTGCAGGGTACGAGAAGAAAGAATTTGGGAAGGAGGGATCCGAGGAAAATGAAAGACACGGCTCTCTCGATTCACGTATGATCACCAAGCATTTATTTTTTAAAAATTATTTTTAAAATCGTTACATCAAAATAATTTAAAAATATATTAATTTAAAATAAATAAATAAAATAAAATTTTAACTTTTTTTTAAAATATTTTTAAAACATAAAAATAAATATACTCTTAAAATTTTCATGCTTGTGTTAACCCTCTCTGTTTTTTTCTTTATTCATCGTTGATTTCACTAAGCATGGATATATCAAAAGTAGCAAAAGTTTGAAGATTAAAATTTATTTTCCAATTAGATTTCTACGTTAAAGATTGAGTCAATCTTGGAGCTAATAACATTCAGCTTTCAAATTAAGCTTGAAGATTTTTTTTTTTAAAAATTGTAATGTTGATAGCGTGCTTAAATTGTATTAGTAAATTTCTATGTATTTTCTAATAAAATTAGCAAAAGTCATGTGCTTTTATATAATTTTATTATTTTTTTGTTCAATAGAAATTCCACTGCATAATAAAAATACTTTTGTTTACAAAACTATAATTATTAAAATTTAAATCTTATTAAAGTTATTAAATCCAATTTAATCTAAAATTAAGATCATAAGTTATGTATTATAATAAAATAAAAATGTAATAAGATTTTTGTTTATCAACGTGATTATAGTTAATTTTTAAATAATTTTTATGTGAAAATATATATTAATAATTTTTTTTATTTTTTAAAATTATTTTTGACATCAGTACATCAAAATAATTTAAAAATATTAAAAATATATTAATTTAAAATAAATAAATAAAATAAAATTTTAATTTTTTTTTAAATTTTAAAACATAAAAATAAATATACTCTTAAAATTTTCATGCTTGTGTTAACCCTCTCTGTTTTTTTCTTTATTCATCGTTGATTTCACTAAGCATGGATATATCAAAAGTAGCAAAAGTTTGAAGATTAAAATTTATTTTTCAATTAGATTTCTACGTTAAAGATTGAGTTAATCTTGGAGCTAATAACATTCAGCTTTCAAATTAAGCTTGAAGATTTTTTTTTTTAAAAATTGTAATGTTGATAGCGTGCTTAAATTGTATTAGTAAATTTCTATGTATTTTCTAATAAAATTAGCAAAAGTCATGTGCTTTTATATAATTTTATTATTTTTTTGTTCAATAGAAATTCCACTGCATAATAAAAATACTTTTGTTTACAAAACTATAATTATTAAAATTTAAATCTTATTAAAGTTATTAAATCCAATTTAATCTAAAATTAAGATCATAAGTTATGTGAATTATCGTGTGAGGTGTAGCTTGAATTAAAATTAAGATCATAAGTTATGTGAATTAGCGTGTGAGGTGTAGCTTGAATTTTTTAAAAATAAAATGATATTATTTTGATTTAAAAAAAAAATAAATCAAATTTTAATTTTTTTAAAAAATTAAATCAAGTTTGGGTTACTCACGCAAGTAAGGATGGGCGCAAGTGAGGATGGCAAAAATTCAATGCCCTAAAAACCCAAGGGTTCCTCCACAAAATTTGTTTATGAAGGAGGGTGAGTCAAGACCTAAGATTAGGTTGAAAGGGGTAGTTAATGGATAACAGACAAATATTCTTGTACTATCCCTATGTTAATCATATAATGAATTAATCCATTAAGCTTCTCAAATTTAATCTAGTTAATTATGCATGATTTTTTCTTAAATTTAACTATATTAAATTTTAAGTTAACCTATTAAATTATACATAGTTTAATAAAAATAAAAACAAATCAGAACATGTAAATACGAGTATGATGCATTGAATACTTTACTGACATTTAATTATTTCAACTTTCAACCAAACAGTATGAAGGCAATTCGAGGGAAAACTATCATCATAATTATTTATTTTTATCAAATCATCACACCAATTATGTTTTCCTCTAAAAATAATACTATTTTTCTGACATCAATTTAGCTTAGTGAATAAGGATCATAGTGGCGGGTGGTAGGGCAGAAGATTGAAAAAATAATGGAAGACCAAAGTGTACAACCTGTCAAAGTAAAAGACCAACCAATAGCCGAAAAAATAAATTTCTTCAGAAAAAAAAAAAACTGGCACTGCCCTGGTTGGTCTGCCCTGCTTTGATCTGGTCCCATCACTTCTCCATTAATTCAAACTTCAGCAAGAACTAATCTTTTTAGGTTCTTTCTATCATTTTATTTCTGGGTTTTCTCTAGTTTCTTCAAAAGAAAGAAAGAAAGAAAGAAAATATGATCGTGGCAGTTTCAGGCATGGATTCACTCGGTGAAAGAGCAGCGAAGATGAGAGAAGCACTTCAAAAAAGCCAAACTATAACTGATAATGTTGTTACAATTCTGGGTTCCTTTGATAGTCGTCTTTCAGTTCTTGAGACTGCTATGCGTCCTACTCAGGTAAGTAGATGTGGAAATGTTTTTTGTTGGGTTGAGTTTTGTTTGGTTCTTGAGAAAATGATGGAAAAGATTGGGACTATGGGGTTTTTTTGGTGGCAAACTGAAAAACCCATATGAGATAATTGATACTGGTTGATGGTGTTTAGTTTGGTTTTCTAATTGCTTTGACTTGTTCTTGCTGTTTGCTGTTGATGTGCTGTTTGTTGTTTGGTTTGTGAGGAAGTGGAGGAAAGCTGAAAGGTTTGGCTGTTTTTTTCATCGTAGGTTGTAGAACCCAGATGAGATAAATGGTTAGTTGTGTGATTCAGAAGAGAAAATTATACGATTCTTGATTGTATCCTGGTTGCCAGTGTTTATTTTTTTATTTGTAATTGAATTGACTGGTTATCCTTGCTGGGTATTGATTTATGATTTGCTGTTTAGTTGAGGGAATTTGGATCTTGAGTATTAAAATAATCACTGTTGAAGAATTCCAGATGGATGAATTGACTAGTTATTGGAGGCAATTAAATTATACTGATTTGATTGGTTTTATTTGTTAAAAAGTTGGGTTTAGATTGTTTTTATTGAATTTGGCTGGGCTTAATCTGGACTTTGTAGATTAGAACGCATGCGATAAGGAAAGCTCATGAGAATATTGACAAGACACTAAAGGCTGCAGAGGTTATACTGACACAGTTTGATGCTTCTCGGCAGGTTGGTTTCATGTATTACTACAAATTTTGCTTTCTTGTTCTATTTGTGAATCACTATATATTTGATTGTTAGTGCCGTTACTTTCCCTGTCTTAGAATATGTTTTGATTTTTTTGTGATGTCTATGTTTTCTTATAGCTGACTCACCCATTGAGACTAGCTTGATCAAAGTGTTTTTGTGCTTTCCCATTCAATTGCTAGACTAAGGTCTGTTTTGTCCCAAAAATAGGATTCTAGTTCTTCTTTAATCAGCATTATGGAATTAGTTGCCATCCTAAAACTTCCTTCGATGTACCCATAGGTTTTTTTTTTTGGTTTTGTTGCCTTAACTTTTTAATTTCTCAAGGTGAAAACTTGATGACTTATCTGAAATTTAATGGGTCATGTCTTTTCTCAAGTACTACCTTTTCTTTGATGATGCATCAATTTTGATGTTTGAAATCTTTTACTCTTTGGATGCACATTTCTTGCACGACTGTTGATATCATCATCATTTCAATATTTAGGCAGAGGCTAAAATACTAAAGGGACCGCATGAGGACCTAGAAAGTTACCTAGAAGCAATTAATCAACTACGAAGCAACATTCGTTTCTTTAGTGGCAACAAAGGCTTTAAGAGTAGCGATGCAGTCATCAATAATGCAAATACCTTACTTGCTAAGGCTATTTCAAAGCTAGAAGATGAGTTTAAGCAGCTTTTGGCATTGTACAGGTATGTTGTCCAAGTGATGGTATTCATGTTGCATGCCAGTTACTTCTAACTGGTTATTGCTAATTCTTCTGCTTTTCTAACCAATTGGTGCTTCTATTATACACTGATGATATTTAACATTTCTCTATTTGTCAACTGATAGTTATCTATGATAATAAGCTTCATGTGTCAATTGATTGTTATCTATGATATTTAACATTTCTTTATGGTGTTGGATGGAAGCTAGTCCCATGTGCTTGGTTCAACTTCTTTATCTTGCAGCTTAAACTTAAGTTTTGCTAGCTTATGAGCATGTATAAAATAAACTTTGGGGATATCAGTTAGGACAGGCTTTTCTGTATTTGCAGTACGATTGTCCCTTTTTTCTATATGATGGCTACTTTAATTATTATGAAGGTAAGCTTTCATTTCATTGAACAACAATCAAGCTGGACTCTGTTTACTTCTCATGAACTCTCATCATCTGTCTATTTTGTTTTTGGAATTTATATATGATGCACGATTGATATTGATCTCTCTAGTGATTCTAGATAGGAAGTAGTTGGTAATGACCTATGTATGCACTTTGTCTGGTCATGCAATTGGTAATGACCTATGTATGCACTTTGTTTGGTCATGCAACTTAGCTTTGTTCATCTCTCTAGCTTGTTTATTTTTATTTTCTAAATTCCAGCAAGCCTGTGGAAACTGATCGTCTCTTTGAGTGCCTCCCTGAATCAATGCGGCCATCATCGGAATCACCTGGAAACCCATTTAGTGGCAAGAATAATCATCATGAGCACCAAAACGGTGCTTCAGAAACTGGTGGTTTCAAACATCTTACTCTCATACCTCCAAGGATTCTACCTTTGTTGCATGATTTAGCCCTACAAATGGTTCAAGCCGGGAACCAACAACAGTTACTTAGAATTTACAGGTAAAGAGCTTTGTCTTTTGACTAGTTCCTGCCACTTGTAGTATTATTTGCACTCTGAGCTATTTTGACCTCCATGATTATTTTTTGGTCCATCCATGTAGTTGTTTACTTAAGCTAAGTCAATTTTGCAAAGCTTCAATACAACATTAGT